CTCAATCCAGTCATTATCAGTATACCTTCCAGGACTTCTATGTGGTTCTTTTTTTAATGACGTCCATTTCCTTATTGTAATTCTCATTTTGTTCATATAGTGTTTCCCTGGTTTTCTAGTCTATTTTGTTACATTGTAGAATACGGAACTTATTTAACATAATTATTTTGAATTCCTTGTCAAATAGTTCATAGATCTCCATTTCTTTAGGTTCAGATTATGGAGCTTTGTTGGTTCCCTTTCATTTTGTGTGCCTGATTCTTTGTGATCCTTGTTGCCTTCTGTCGGTGTATGTGCATTTCAAGGAGAACTTACCTCTCCTGGTCTATACAGATGTGTTTGTGAAATAAATATTTTTCTCCTGCGGAATCCCTGGACTGGCTGGATTTTCTCTGGAATAGTAGTTGAGTGGGGCTAGAGTTGAGTCATGGAGCTTCTTCTGATTCTGCAGTTGATTCTATATTTGGCAGTCATGTTACTGGGGGCTTGGGTGGGTGTGGCTCCTGCCAGACCCCTGGACAAGTGGAACTTCCTCTAGAATAGTGGACACACAGGGCTGGAACCAAGTCCACATGGGGACTGAGCTGCCTCTGGGTCTGGTGCCAGGTCTACATGATGGATTCCTATTGGGCATGGACTTGCCTTTTCAAAGTGATCTCTTAGTTTTGGTTTCCACCATGCTGTCATGACCTGGGTCCCAAAGTTCCTAGGTAGGCCCTTGACCATGCATGATTGCCAAATTATTGTTTCTATGAAAGGAGGAGGGTTAAAGACATTCTATTCTGCTATCTTTTTATTAATTAATTAATTAATTAATTTTAGTTGTTGATGGACCTTTATTTTATATATGTATTTACATGTGGTGCTGAGAATTGAACCCAGTGCCTCACACAGGGCAAGCAAGTGCATTTCCGCTGAGCCCCAGCCCCCTATTCTGCTATCTTATAGATGTGACTCCTTCATATTTTTGTTGTTGAATAATAAATACTCCATTATATGGACTTCATTTATCCAGTTATCAGTTGATTGATATTTGAGATATTTTCATTTTTGGCTATTACGAATAATACTGTTATGAAAATTCATGCGTATATATTTGTGTGGACATATATTTTCAATCCTCTTGGATGCATACCAAGGAGTAGAATTGCTAGGTTATATTTGGAATTTTAAATACTTCTTAGCAAGGCAGTTTGTGTGTAACCTTGGTTAAGCAATTCTTATAATTCTTACAATAGTTGCTGCTATCTTCTGACCCATTTCTGTGATACACTGCTCATTTAGAAAGTATATGAACTAACTTATAGTTTAAAATAGCTTATGGAAAGCAGTTCCATGGACACCTCTTCAGACTTCCTACTATGTATCCAGGAACATATAGAAAAAGGTGAAATTAATCTATTATTGAAGGAACATGATCCATTGATATAACAAAACTTACCAAATCAAGTTTTCTCTCCGATTTAGCTGTATTTGTATTTATTTCTAGGGTACCCCACCCACCCAGCCTGAAAGGAGGGAGAAAGACAGTATCTTTGTCATTGTCTGATAGAGACCGATATATTCAGAGCTTATAATATTGAGTATGATGTAGGGGTTAAGAGAACACTTTGACTTAGTTGAGAGAAAATATGTAGGGAATGTTAAGATTATGGAAAAAGGAAACAAATAAAAATATAAAAGTGCATAGCTGATGAAATATTAACCCAGTTTAAGATACAAATGAGCAGTTAAAACAGAAGAAATTATCAGAGATAAAACTGAAGAAAACTTTCACAAGCTTTAAAAAGCTATGAATATGTTGGCAAAACCTGGGTTCTAGGAAAAAGCAATAAAAACCCATTAAAAGACATGTTTTTATAAAGCTTTTATGAAGAAAAATGTTCTAGAAGTATGCAAATTGAAAATTAATGTTGCCCATACAGTAAGAAAAAGCAAGCTTCAGAATTACATTCAAGATACTTTAGCCCATTTTGCCCCATCATCCCAGATGGTGAATGCATATAAAAACTTATAGTATATAAATAGTAATATAAAATAATAACTATAATTATATAAATATATGTAAGCTTTATATTATGATTTCCAGTCTCTTAATGCACCTGTGTATATTTTGTTAAAATATTAACAGAATTAAAAACTTAGAAATTAACAGATTAAAGGCTAAAAGACAGTAGATTTATATAATTTATTTATTAATTATATTTATATAATTTTGAAGAAAAAAATACATTGGGACCTCTTGGAGAATTTTATACCCATCTGTAGTTAAGTCACTACAACATGAATTGTGATAAAAAATTTCCTTTCTACAAATCAGAACTTAACAGATTTCATCTTATCCTAGTCAGAATGGCTATTATTAACCAAACAAAAAATAATAGATGTGTGTGTGGGAGGGAAGAACTCTTATACACTGTAGGTGAGATTATAGATCAGTACAGTTAGTATGGAAAGCAGCTTGAAGTTTCCTCAAAAAACCAAAAGTAGAACTATCATACCATCCAGCTGTACCACTTCTGGGCATAGACCTGAAGGAAATGAAGTCACTATATGTAAGTGATATCCGCACACCCATGTTCACTGAGGCACTATTCACAATAGACAAATTATGGAAGTAGCCTAGATGCATGGATGGATAAAGCCATTCTGAATCATAAGAAAAATATAGCATATATACAATAGAATATTACTCAGCCATAAATAAGAATGAAATAATTTTATTTTCAGGAAAATGGATGGAACTACAAATACTGCATATTTTCTTCCATATGTGGAAACTATAAGATGACCTGAAAGTTCAAGAGGAAATATTAGGTAGGAAGGTAAAAGAGAGTATAGTGGGGGAGGGATAGATAAATTCAAAGTATAATATATGCAGTAAGGAAATGTCACAGTCAAACCCATTCATTTATATAATTAACATCAGTCAAAAATTTTTCATCTCAAAAAAGGTGGAGTTATTTTGAACAACATAGGGCCATTTCCCCCAAGTTTTTCTTGTATTTTTGGAGATTATGTTGAACAACCATTTCATATTATCTCTAATGTGGTCTTTGGGAGTATTTTCATATTAAATTCATTAATATCAGCATGTGACATTGTATCTGAATTATTGATGAAAGTAGTTCAGAAAAGAAAATTGTGAAAAAATAGCCAAAATGTTAATATTGATAAGTAGGTAGAGTTAGCATGATCTTTTTAAAACATTTTCTAATATTTGAAAATATTCTACTGTATGAATGAATTACTTATCTTTTCTGTAACTTATTTTAAAATACTTACAATGTTTTGTTAATTAGAAATATTTTTAAGCTAAAAAAGGGTAAAGTTATTACAGACAATGTTCTATTTGCCAAGTGGTTGAAATGCATAGAAGAGTGGAAGGAATTGCAAAACATCTTAGTAGTAGTCTAGTAACTATGCCACACAGATTACATTCCATGTGATACCTCATTTAATCTTTGTTGTAACTTTATTTATTTCCACCCTTTTTAGTTTAGAAAACGGAAGTACAGAGAAGTTAACTAATTTTTCCAAGGCCATACAGATAGTTTGTTTTCAACTAGCCACTGGGACTGCTGAACCCATCTCTGTAGGTTTTGCTACCTTGTACTGCCTTCTAAGGGTGACAGCATAATGATGAATCTGTATATGCTTTTTAAATATTTCATGGTAGATATTAATTTTGGTGGGAAACACTGTTAACATTTTTCACACTCTGAAACCATTCTTTTGCCTGTTTTTTTAAAAATTTATTTTTAGTTGTCGATGGACATAATATCTTTGTTTATTTATTTATTTTTAATGTGGTGCTGAGGATAGAACACAATGCCTTACACATACATGAAGGCAAGTGCTCTACAACTGAGCCACAACCTCAGCCCCCCAAAATTTATTCTTACATTGGATTGCCACTAGATTGATTCCTTAAGGTAGTTATCATTTACCTTTACCTGGGGTTGGGTAGGGGTTTGATTCATCTTTCTTTATCTGGATGGCAAGGTGAAGTAAATAGTACACCTTCATATTATCAAAACTTCATGTTATTAAACTATATACTGCATCTGCCCAAGGATTAAAGCTGCTCTGAGGAGATTTATTTTTTGTAGGCTTTCCCATCTACCTTGCTCCCATGAATCACTTATTGACTCTCATTCTGTAATTGATTTGTACAAGTTTATTTCTGGATCTCTTTACATAATGTTATCTTGGCTCAGATGTCACTTAACAGGAGTCTCCCCTGTCCAACCAGCTCTGGTCTCCTGTTGCATGTGCTCATAGCTGAACTAACAAGCTGGACTCTTTAAGGTGCATTGGGGGGTATTTGACCACAGTTGCTTAAAGCTCAATGTTTTTTGATGATAAGGAGGACAATGAGAAGGAGGAAAAAATGAAATTTCACCTTCCAAAATTCTAAAACATTAGCCATCAAAAACTATAATTCTAATTTCTTATATGGATGGCATAACTAATCTCCTTTTTGCCATTAATCATCATCATCATATTGCACAATTGGATTTGCAAAAAATGTATCCAGGAAATGACTTTCCTGCAGTTGCTAATATTGATGGCAGTGTCCATCTGAGAGTTTGTCTCGAGTTGATTGTTCCGTGAGCTTCAGGCTGCTGTACTTTTCAGACTTGTGCTTGCAGTGTCGGTCAACTATTTCCAGCTCATTCCGTTTGATGGATTTCACTCTAAAAGTTTGCGGGTGGGCTCCAGGTACAGGCAGAGGTGCGGTTTTCTGTCATCTGAGAAACCAGCCTAGTGGGATGTACCAGGCACCGATCCTTTTCCTCTCCCTGAACACAGATTTAGGGATGTCAGCAAAAGTGTTTGTCACTCTGTTTAATAAAAGTAAAAATTCCGAGTAGCTCTGATCATTTGTTAGGACTAAAAGTTGGGTCAAATTTAATTGCGATGATTTTTTTTTTTCCCTCTGTGTTCTCTTGCCAGTCACGCCTGAAGCCATTGGCTTCTTGTCTGCTGTTGGGGTCTTTATCGTTCTTCTGGCTGTCCTCTTCCTCTTCATCAACAAGAAGCTTGGTTTTGAAACCATAGGAGGTCTCCCCTGCCTGGAGCAACGAGGGAAAAGAAAGCACTCCAAAGACAGGACTGGGGTCCACACAGGTCTGGGTAAGCTTTATTCTTCATATTCTCCTGAGCGGGGCAACTTGATGTGGTTTGGGTCATAGGGAGATTGTCACCATTTCCAGGATGGGCCCCACTAAGAACTCACACAAGCTGTTGGGTAGGCATATGATGAATGGACATTCCTAAAGGATACACTATCTTTATGAAAATAATGTTTTCCTTAGAGTTGGAAGAGCAGAAAGGAAAAGTCTGACCCCCACTTCCTGTCTTCCTAGCTCTTTATTACATTCATGATGAGTTTCCCTCTAATCCTTATAGAAACGAGTGTGTTTTGATTGATAACATAAATATCAGAGATGGATTTTAGCCTCATGATGTTAAAACAGTACTGACATCTGACTTCTGTGCTATATTTGAGATTTTTAGTACCTAGAACCTACTAGTAGGCTAACCAGTCACTTTTCCAAAGGAAGTTTTTTACTCTTTAATTCCACCAAGTGTTCTATACCATTATTTACTCACTGCCTTCAATTTGAAGAAGAAAAAAATCACATCAGGAGACAATTGACTTGTTGGTCCTAAAGGACGCATTCTATTTTCACTTGCTCGGGTGTAGTACTTAATGATACAGGATGTTATCACAGTGGTGGCCGTCATCACACAGAAGGTAGACAATGAAAGGCAGTATCCTTGCCTTACAGGTGACTTTGACTTCGCTCTTTTGTAGCAGGGTGGACTCTCACCTTCCTTTTTCACACCCCACAGGATATGGGCATGATGGAGCCAGGTGCAACCTTGCATCCTCCTTTAAGTGGGGCCAAGTTCTTAAGGAGAACTTCGTCTGTTCCTCCTGCCTCCTGGGTGTGTTTTAAGTGAGCCTGGACCAAGTAAAACATTTGACTCCTTGATAAGGCAGCTTTTATAGCCATGGACACTTTATCTTTTTCACTTTGTTGTAAAAGAAAAGCACATTATTTAGGAATAAAAATCTATTAGTCTTCTGTTGCTTCATTAAAAATGACCGCAAAACTTGATAGCTTAACACTACAAATACATGTCTCATTATTTTTGAAGTTCAGGAATTTAGTTGGATGGTTCTAGATCAGAGTCTCTTGTGAGGCTGCAGTTAGAATGTCAGCTGAGAGCTGAAGTGTGGCTGGTAGAATCACTTCCAGGATGACAAAAGACCTCAGGTCCTGTCCCCATGGAACTCCTCTACAGGGGAACTTGAATTCTTCATGACACGGCAGCTGGCTTTACCCTAGTGAGAGATCCTTGGAGAGCAAGAAGGAGCTGCTGTTCCTCCTATGACCTAGTCTGGGCTGTCATTTCTTTCACATTCTGTTCATTTGCTGAATGTAGGCCATTCTCAAGGGAAGGGGGAACTAGGTTCCACTTTTTGAGGGAAAAGGTATCAAAGATTATACAAACTTTTTTCCATATTTCTTATTGTTGCATTATAACTATACAAAATAATGGGATTTGTTGTTACATATTTGTACATGCACATGTTATATAACAATATAAATTAGTCAATGGTGTTTATGTGAACATATTGTAAAACCACTATAGGTTAATAATAATGGGGAAGGGTGTAAATTGCATACTTGGCAATTGATTGGGCATTGTTACTGTTGTCTTAGTTTTTGAACTCCACTTAGGACATCGACTCATCTTCTGAAAATAAAATGGAATATTTTGCATAGAGTTTGTCATGTAAACTCTGGGATTTATGAAAAGTTTAGCCACTACTGTCCCACCTATATAGGTAATCTGAATGAGTAGACTTCTGTTGGAAATGAGTAGACTTCTTTCTGGTGGAAAGAAGGTAGGATTCATAGTGATTTGCTTTCCTCCCTTCAGAGCTAATTGCCAATCATTATGTAAATTGGCAAACCTTGGAACCATTCTGAACTTCAGTTTTTTTCATCTTAATCTGTATATTGGGATTATCAACACATCTCTGGAAGTGTTAATCTAAATTAAAGGAATTGATTTTGTAAAAATACTAGCATAGTGCCTCTGGTGGAAATCCTAGTATAACTTTAACCATCGCTGTGTAGCATAAATAAGTAATGGCTTCTAGGAATGACATTACACACTTAATTCATTGTATTCATTATTTAAATTGGGAGATTAAAGTTGGTGATGTTTTCTCCTTTGCAAACTATAATGAGTACAAAGAACTAAGGTTAGAGTGATTTAAAATATCTCCTTTTTGTCTTGTTTGACATGTTATTTGAGTACTTTAGAGACAATTATAAATTATACTTGCAAATAAGTTGAGATTTAAAGATAATGTTGAAACAATAATAATAAAGCATGAGCGAGAAGCTGTTAGCTCAAAAACACAGAAAAATACTTGCCTCCAACTCGGAGTGGGGTCTTATGACAGGAGTTTTTTAAATGGTTTATTCATTAGACTCTCCAAATCTTAATGTCTAAAGCAAACACCTTCATTTTGACATTTCTCCTTTTAAAGGTGTAATTATCATTAATCAAAAGCCTTTGAAAAACATGCTTCTATTCCAGAATTTATCTAACCTTTGATATTCACCTTAATTATCATCCTCAGAACACCGATTTCTTGGTGAAGTTGGGGTGTTCTTAACATATTTTGACAAATGTTAAAGAAGGAAGGTAGGCAGCTTGGTGTGGTGGAGAGAAGCATGGTGCAGACAATTAGAGCTGAGCTCTGCCACTAATTGGCCATGATATTTTGGGAAACTCACTTCACCTTTCTGGGTCTTAAGTCCTCATTTGCAAATTGATGAGTCTGGACTAGGTTTCTCCCAATTTTCATTCTGTGATCCTGTTTGGTTCCTAGGGTTTCCATAGCAACTCCTTCTCTTGCTTTCATTCTGTGAATGGAAGAGCCCTAATAAAAATGATTAAAAATCAACTATACCATTCTTCTCTTAGATTGAACCATATAAAATTGCCATTTTTGTAGATCAAAGAACTGGCTGAATATTAGTAACCCAATTAATCATTATTATCTATGTGATGTTCTGAGATATAAAATTATATATAATGCTTATCTGGTGATATCAGAGGGGCAAGAGTAACTATTTTCTGAATATATATATATATATATATATATATATATATATACTTATCTGAAATAGAAAATTGATTACAAATAAAACTTTTATGGTGAGATAGTTTTTAAAGAAGTGTCTCTTTAGAGAAATTTGTTTATTTCCCCTAAAGCTTTATGGGTCAAAGGCAAAATTTAGATGTCAGAGTAAAGAGCTTCATTTAAGAGGCACAATGCAGAAAGGATAAAGGATATGATATGAGGCAGAGAGGGAAGAAGAAAAGCCTTCTACTTCTAGAAAGGTCCGAGGATAACTTGGAAAGACAACAAGGAAAGAGAATTGGTGGACCCGAGACATTTTCTGGACTGACTGGACTCTGAAAGAGTGGCAGATGTGGGACTCCATCAGAGCAGTTGTAAAAAAATCAGAATCCAACATGGCCTGAGAAAGAGTCAGAAAGCAGAGGTCCCCATACTTTCTCATTTGGAACTGAGACAGGAGATTGCCTCACAGGTGTACCGGTGGGCCCAAGGTAGCTGCAGTGGTGTCAAACATAATGGTGGAGTTGAAGAAGACTTCTCGTCTGCAATTCTTGTGAATAGTTCATGCACACAGATGTTTTAGAAGTTTCTGCATGACACTACAGTATGTAGGAAAGATAGTGGTGAATAAGAATCAATGTTTTTGCTGGTAAGCCATTGCAGGGTAGCTTGGGATGGGATGGGTCTATGATAGAGGGGTGTGGGGAATGTATACCCAAGGCTTCCCGGAGTCGGGTCTGGCTTCACAGGCATCCATCCTGTGCAGTGGCATGAAGCTCCACACTGAGAGGGGCTCTGCTTAATGCTGTGCTATTTCTGCCTTAAAATACTTCATATGCTTCAAGGTACTGTATTTTGCTTTTGCCCTGGGTCTTGCCAGTTATGTAGTCTGTGCTGCCTGGATGGATACTTCACAGGGAATGCTGTAAGGCAGAGGCTGATTCTTTTGGAGGTCAGCAGCCAGTAGGAAGGAATGGTACACCATGTTAAGTAAGCTTACCCTTTTGCCTAGATGCTCCTGGTTTAAGGGAACATAGCAGTAGGAGGGGAAGTCCCAAAGACTGATGATTTATCCAAAATTAAATTGACTGAAATTATTTTGAGTGGGTGTGCTTGTCATCTTTTTGATCCTGTGACCAAAACACCTGACAAGAGCAACTCAGAGGAGGAAAATTTTATTTTGGCTCATGGTTCAGTGGTTCTGTCCATGGTCTGTTGACTCCATTGCTGTTGGCCCCACAGTGAGGTAGAACATCATGGTGGAAGCGCTGGTGGAGGAAAGCTACTCAGTTCATGGAGGAGGGGGGGGTGAGAGAGAGGAGAGAGAGAGAGAGAGAGAGAGAAAAGGAAGCAGGAAAAGGGGATGAAGAGAAGATTAAACCCTCCCAGGGCATACCTCACCAGTGACCTACTTCCTCCAGTCATACCACACCTGCCAACAGTTACCATCCAATTAGACCATTCAAACTGTTAATCCATCAAAGGAATTAATCCCCCGATTAGGTTACAGTTCTGATAATCTAATCACTTTGCCTGTGAACATTCTATGTTGCCTTCTGAGCTTTGAGAGCCAGGCACCTTGTATTCAAACCATAACAGCGGGCAAGTAAATGTTTAGCTTCTCACCACTGAGCATGGGAAGGGGGCTCCAGAGAGAGATGAGAACAGTAAGAGTAAATAAGGAGACAGCTTTTATACATTTAAACAAGCTGGATTTCAGCTGGTGCTCAGCAATAAGGCTGTGCCAGCTGGAGCCCAGAAGTTAAGTTTGTAAAACGTGACAGTTTCTCCCTTCCAGTTGTTAGAAAGACCCAGCTGACTGGTCCCACACTGGGAACACCCTCACCTCTTTACCTGCAACTAAATGGTTACCTTCTGGTCCGGCAGAAGCCTCTGACTTGCCCTAGCACTTCTTCTGCTTGGACCATAATGGCTGTTGCTGTCAAATATTTTTTATTTC